CCCCAAAACCCCAAAACCCCTAGTGAATAGAATTTAATAGTGATTAGATATTTTTTGAATAAACATCATCATCAATATAATATATTTAAAATGGCAATAACTAAATTTCTCACCATTGCTTTCATTTTGCTTGGAACAGCTCTGTCTAAAAATCCGTTTAAGCGTGATAACAAGACTGAACCTAAAAATAATACTATTCCCGATAACTAAACTATTCCAGTCAACGATTCTGCATCTGGAAACAATACTAAAAATTAAAACAAGACTCTTCCAAAGGAACTACTTAAGTTTAACAAAAATGGCAAGTTTAAGATCATTCAATTTACAGACACTCATTTCGGTGAATTAGCAGAGAGGGATTAAAATTCCTAAGAGTTGATGAAGAAAATTATGGATTATGAAAAGGCAGATTTAGTTGTAGTCAGTGGAGACATGGTCTCAGGTTATGCATGGGATGGCTCCAAGGGTTGGTACGAGCATCATTATAGGTAGTTCTTATAGCCTATGATTGACAAGAATATGAAATGGGCTGTGACTGCAGGAAATCACGATGATGAAGTTGATATTACAAAAGAAGAAATGTCAGAACTTGACAGATCTCATGATTTAAGTTACACTCTACCTAATTCAGGCAATATCTCAAAGGTGTTCAACTACTTGCTACCTATTTATGATTAATCAGGAAAGAACATCATGTATAGACTCTGGTTCTTAGATTCTGGCAATCTTCATTGTTAAAACTTTGATGGCTACGATTGCTTTGAATAAGACTAAATTGATTGGTTTAGATCAGAAAATAGTAAAATAAAGGATGATGACATAAGCAAGGGTAGAGCTATAGCAATATTCCACATTCCATTATATCAGTTTATGCATTTACTCAAGCCAGGCAACCATTTTTATGGTTATTAACAAGAACCTGTATGTTGTCAGGGTTTGGACACTGGTCTTTTTGCTGCTATTAAAGAACAAAAATCAGTAGAATGGATAACATGTGGCCATGATCATAACAATGATTATCACGGAACTTATGATGATATAAATCTTTCTTATGGTAGAAAAACTGGCTATGGTGGATATGGACCAAAGAATATACAGAGAGGGGCAAGAATATTTGAAATTACACTTGAACCTTACTCCGTTAAAACTTGGATAAGAGAAGAGAATGGAAACATTGTGAATCATACTTAACCTCATAGCTACCCCTCATTCTGGCCGGCTTAGCATAAATGTTGTCTAGCTAAAGTTATGGGTCAGGTCACTGCCAACTATGAGGAAAACAAGAAATAACACCTTCTTTAAGAATTCTATGATTGAGCGAATTTAATCAAATACATTTAATGTATACCACTCTCTCAACTGCTAAACTCTAGCTTATTGGGGTTTTGGGGT